GAAGCAGCTCTAGCTATCTGTGGTGTCTCAGTAAGAGCTGGGGGAGAAGGAACGCTCTTTTGTTTCAGGACAATTATAGGACATCTTAGGAAGAACAAGGAACGGTCCCTGTGTACTGATTCCAAGGACGTTTTGCTTCTGATTCGTCTACATTGCTTCCATCAGTGGCTGTTCCCGGCTTACAATGGGCACACCTGCCCCTAGGGTCTCACATGACTGCCTGCCCTGGAAGCCTTGTCTTCTGCCACCTTGCTTGGAGGATCTGCTTCTTACCTTTAAGCACTGTATCCTTTCTGTGCCCCCAAACCCATACATCTTGTGAGAGGGAAAGTGTTGGCCCTTCACAGATCCACTGACAGTACACATCTTTTATCAGACTCAGGATCTGGTCCAGATCTCCACTCTCTCTGCCCTTTGGTATATCAACATGACCTTCCAGGCTGCTAGGGTTCCCCCTGACACAGCAGCTAGCTGACCCCTCGGCAGCATTCTATGCATGATGTACTGGGCCCCTGTGGCTCCTGAGAGGCCAGCTGCTCCTCTGTCTCTCACTACTCTATCCTGCCCCCTTGCTGGCTCTCCTGCAGTGTTTATAGACCAGGCCATCTTCTTGCCAAGTTCTGTACTTTTCCCTGGGCAGTCTCATACCCACCATGGAAATGAGCATATAGGCGCTTTTGCTAGAAACCACTGACATTATGACGTGGGCTCATAAGCCACCTTGGATCCCAGGGAGAATAAAGCACCACAATACAGCTCCCACATCCCAGAAGAGGGGTGTTATCCATGAGGGAAGGGATACACCCTGAGATAAAGGAATCATCTTGTGGGAATTAGACATCTTCTCAAATAAATGGCAGCTGGTAGGGGTGTGTTGTACAGGGATGTCTTCAGAACTGAGAAAATGAGGGTAGAACCACTCCCTGATGAGTTGTTGTCTCTTGCTCCTTGCTCCAGTTCTTTTTCTACTGAAGTCTAAAGCCACAGTTTTCTTGGGTCACATCTCATAATTGTTTATGCATAATTGCATAAACCCCAGTGACTTTTAGCTCAACTCTATTTCAGACACCATGCATGATAACCTGAATGAGAATGGTTCCCAAAAGCTCATCTGTTTGAATACTTCATCCTCAGTTGGTGGAACTGTTTGGGGCTAGGAGGCGTAGTCTTGTTGGAGGAGGTGTGTGATGGGGATGGGCTTTGAGGCTTCTCTCAGATCCAGAGTGAACGCCCAGCAATTCCTGCAGCTATGCCTTGTTCCAACATCATGGACTCCAACTCTCTGAAACTGTAAGCCCAATTTAACACTTTCATGTAGAAGTTGCCCCCGTTCACAGTGATTTTATCACAGCAAAAGAAAAGTAACCAAGACAGCCTGTAATGGATTTTACCTCCTGCAACTGAGCCATCTCTGAAGACCTGACACTCAAGTTCTTTCCTGGCCACAGCTTTCTAGATATGTGCCTTTCTCTATCATATCATTTGAGCTTGTCTTTATCCTTGGTGTGAGTATAAGGGTTTTTTTTTCCACCTTGGGCTTTTCCTCGGATCCCTCGGTAAGCCTTGGCCTCCATGTCTCCCTCTCCAGTCTGAATCCCATGACCTCCCATGACAAAGAAGCTGTAACAGTGAGCTGATGGCCTCTCACCGCTGCCGTGGCTGTGAATCCGTTTCCAAGTGCATGCACTAAGCCATCTGGCCCCGCGTCCAGTGCCACCTCTTCCTTAAACCCTCCCTTCTATCCTTTTAAAGGCACCACTCCCATGAACATTGGTAACATTTATGTCTCCTTTAAGGGACATCTTCGTAATTTAGCTGCAGGTCTGTCTAGCCCCCTCCCCCCTCAGACTTATCCCCAGGAGAACAGCATTCACACCAGACCTCGGTGCTCCCTATGCCTAGCTCTGGTGACTGTGGAAGAACCTATCAGTTTGGGAGAGTGAATAGTTTTTTGCTTTTGGTTAAAGGAAATTGGGTGTCCACTTGTGATGGCTAATCAACTTGGGAAGAGGGAACTCCAATTGAGAAATTCCCATCAAATTGACCTGTGGGCATGTCTGTAAGGGTATTTTCTTGACTACTAATTGATGTAGGAGGGCCTAGACCACTGTACAAAGTGGCATTCTTAGGTAAGGGGCCTCGGGCTGTATAACAGAGGTAACTGAACATCAGTGTGGGAGAAGGCCAGTAAGCAGCACTCTTGTTTCAGGTTCCTGCCCTGACTTCCCTCACTGATAGACGATAACCTGTAAAGTAAATCCTTGTCTCTCCAGGTTGTTGTTGGTCATGGTGTTGATCACAGCAACAGAAAGCAGACCAGAACAGCATTCCATCCCTCTGGGGTGATGGTATTCAACTTTTTAAACAGCAACTCATCTTTACAAAATAGGAAATAAGAAAAGCAAAGAAAGTAGGGCATGGTGGCATACATCAGTAACCAGCACTTTGGATGCTTCTAAGACGGAGGATCAGAATTCAGTGTCATGCTCAGAGAGAAGCAAGTTCAAAGCCAGGCTGGACTTTGTGAGATCCTGTCTCAAAAAAAGCAAAACAAAGATTGTGGGAAGAGGGGAGAGCCTGGAGGGGAGAAAGGTATACATTTTCTTAGTTTTATTTATTTATGTCTGTCTGTCTGTCTGTCTGTCTGTCTGTCTGTCTGTCTGAAGTGGGCATGTCAGAGTCAGGTCGTGGGCAGGTGGAATTAGGACATGGTTTCTGGAAAGCCAGAGTGATATTCTGCTAGCATCTGGGGACACACTGTTAAGCAGGTTTCCTTTGGCAGGGACTATATCTTGGTGTCAGGTGATGGCCTTGGCTGAGAGAAATGAAAGCATGTCCTCTGTGCAGAGAGACAGCATTCTTTTTGTGTGCACAGGAGAGGAAAGGTGTCTCTTACATCACCAGTCCTGAGGCACTGGCTGTAGGAGTAAAACTGTATGTCTGAGGAATCAAAAGTTGTCAAGATTGACCAGCCTTTAGTAAGGAAGCCTTAGTTCCTGCTGGGAGGTCGACATTAGCCTTTGAGAAGCCAAGTCCAAAGGTTAATACAGGAAAAAGAAGAGGATGCTGTTGACTACTCACAGACGGGAAGCGACAGTGTTCTGAGAGTTTGCCACAATAAAGCCTGTTTATTTCCTAGTGAAGCCCTGGACACAATGCCCATACTTGGCTGGCTCCTGAGGCTAGGGATGTGCCAGGCATGCATTTCTACACAGTGGCCCTGAGCTATTTCAAGCCCCTTTTGACAGAACACTTTGGTTGTTTTGAGACGATGTCTCAGGTAGCCCAGGCTGGCTTCAAACTCACCATGTATTTGACAATGACCTTAAACTGTTGCTCTTCCTCCCCCACCTCCTGTGCTTAAATGACAGACATGTGCCACCTCACCCAGATAAGCAAGACACTTTTCGAAGCAGTGGGGCATGGTGGACGTCACTTCTTGCTCTTTTACCATGAGCCCCTCCGGATCCATCCCCAGTTACCAAGGAACACATTACTGTTCTTCAGCCATCTGTGGGGTTTAGCCAGGACATCCCACGCTGCAGCTCCCAAAATTGCACAGCAAAGCTACTAGGGAACTTCCTCCTCTTCCCCTCCAGGTCGTGACTCTGGGAAAGGCCCTGTCTGTGATCACTCCTGGGTGGTACCTGCCTCCATGGCTCAGATCCTGTCAAGGTCCTTCACCTGTCCTCAGGCTTAGCATGGCAGCTGCTTCCAGTTCTCACTAGTCTTGATTCTCCAGCACCTTTCCAACCTTTAACACGTTTCTTTTCTCGACCCTCTCCAATTCTCTGTAGAGAATCTTCGCGAAGCTTTTCCCCTAAACCTTTTAACTATTTCTGCTTGAGGCCCATTCTCCACTTGAGTAAAGGCCAAACCACAGCAGGTCACAAAGAATGGTTTAAGAAGCTCATTTTCGTTGACAATGTTACTTTATTGTCATCAATAAAGAAACTGCCACCATTTTCACTTTCTCGTACCTAGCGTGTGTCTGTGTGTGAGGCATGGTGACACTGTAATCCTAGTAGAAGGTTCAAGGCCAGCTTGAGCTATACAGTGAGACTCCCTACAACACCCAAGTCCTTTCTAATGCATTGCTTGGACAGTTTTAAAGTGCTCCTTCTAGCAGTGGCTTTCACACAAGAAGCCTCCAGCTTTAGTCACTCAGGATATTTCCCAGGTCCTGCTAAGGATTAAAAGGAGTAGGGAGACCTTTTCCCTTCATTTCCTCTAAGTTGGTAGTCATGTCTGTTCTCCAGCTCCAACACAGCCCCTCCTATCTACCCAAGGGCAGTTGTGGTCCTCACTATACCATGCTTGGGAAGGCTCAGGGCTTCACTAGCCTTGCTGCAGCCCTATCTGGGAGGAGTGGTACTACGTTGTGGGCATTTCCTTCTAAGTATCTGCTACTCTCAGCTGAGATGCTTGGAAGAGCTATCTCCCCTGCCCTGGCCTCCTGCGGTGATGCATGACTGGCTGAGGGGTGACTTGGGGCTTCTGAACTGTGCCCATCTGCCTGTTCCGTCTAGGTTCTACACCAGCATGGTCCACAGTGCCCGCCCCTCCACTTTCCACCCTTCTTCCTGGCAAATCCTGTTTTATACAATTCCACCAGCATACAGCCTACTTTAAAGATATTTTTCTTTTGTATTTGGGGACTACCAGAGTTCATGGAGTACAAGGGTTGGACACTCCTAGAAAATTCGTGCTTGCATGCACCCCTACACTGCTAGGCTAACTTCAAGCATGCCCATTCATCTGTGGGATCTAACAGACTCCAGAGGATGGCAAAACGGTCTCACCTCACCTGGGATAAATGCTCAGTTGTTGGTTGAGACAAATGTGGCCACCTCAGGTAAGAGGCTGTTATAAAGGCAGTGTGAGAAGAAGCGTGCAGTGGGTTGCAGCCCACTTTACACTGTAGCCCTTCTATCCAGGGCACACTTCTGTTCACAATCTTTCAGAAGTCTGAAATACTGGGAACGAAAACTCACAACAACTACTACAGAGAACAGTCCTTTATTTTCAGAGCAGAGGCTGGAGCTGGCCACAGTGGGCCTGCAGTTCCCACTCCCTCATGTCCAAGAGGCCAGCCTCAGCACCTTCAGCTTCAGTGCAAGAAGAGGAATGTTCCCCTAAGGAGGGTTTGAGAACAGCCTGCTCCAGCAGCTTCCACAGTGGGCCTTTGTGGGATCCACCTGAGTCAAGACTTCAGGTCAGGTTCAAGTGCTGGCTTCCTTCCCATCACAGCCTTCGAGCCTTCCGGGGTCGGCAGCCATTGTGTGGGACAGGGGTGTTGTCTGTGATTGAGATCACTTCCAGACCCCCCATGGTCAGTCCTTTGATGGCAGACTGGAAAGATCAGAAAGAGGCAAATGGCATGGTCTTCAAAATGATGACCCAGCATCTTCAGACAGGGCTCCGAGAAGGATGGAGGCTCACTGTGCATGTCTACAATTCCAGTCCCTGCTGCCGCCACCTTGGGCTTTACAGTCTGAGAACAGGTTCTATCCACTCTGGTAGCTTTACAGGAGTGTTTCCTTCTCCTGGGACACACACACTCACACCACAACACTTTGTTCTCTTAAAGTCAGAGAGATGTTACTTTCTTGCGGGAAGCTATAGCCCCACTGGTCTCAGTATCCCTCTCAAGGTGCCCAGCATCTTGACCCCTTCTCCACTGCATTCACTAGTCTGTGCTGAGGATCTACTTGTGATGGTCCCCCAGAGACCACTTTTCCATTCCCAGGGGCTGGTACTCAAGAAGGTAATAAATTAATTCATGACCCAGGCTTGCTCTGCAGGGATTAGTAGGTCACAGGAACAGAAAGGAACTTTAAACAACGCCATGGAAACTCACTAAGGGACATTTCTACTCTCCACACCTGGCTCTAAAGAATACTCGCAACACACTGAAGAAAACCCCTAGTTACTTACCCAGCGTCCTGGTCCCATGCCTTTCACTACGACTCTGATGTGGGTCACTCCCTTTCCTGTGGCTTTCTAGAAAGAGGCAAGTGGTCAGTGTCCCTGAGACAGTGCTGCAGCCCAGGCTCTGGCTACTGTCTTTAGGAGACATGGAACAATGGCAACAACAGGAGCAAACAGGGAGACAGAAGACACAGAAGGAAGCTAAGTACCAAGGGCCCAAGTGAAGATGGATAAGGAACTAAGGTGACAGAGCTGTACTGCCACCTAGTGGACACTTGAAGATATTGCCTGATTTTCATCCAAATGCTGAGGCATCACCATGGGTATCAAGGTTGGGCCCACTTATAACATGGGATTTAGTATTTTTACAGTTAAGTATGTGTCCTGATTATAAACACATTCACTATGGGTCTTGGAAGATACTCAAAAGCTACCATGCAGAGGTCCCCAAAACACTGGCATGTGCCACTTAGCTGTGTTCTGTCTGATGGGTAATTACATCATTCTGCGTTTTGGTGATCATTACTCATAGCAATCAAAGGTTTCCTTATGTCCAGCTTTAAAGGTCAAGGTGTTCCTTCAGGAAGTATTCTGCTTGTCAGAGCACACGCATTTATGGTCTCTGTTATAGCAGAAAACGTGCAGCTCTGGTTTGAGGCCCATCTGAGTTCACGTCAGAGGGCTGAACTGGCTGCTTGACTTCGACACAATCCCACAGAATCTGATTCTCTGGAAAGAGTGGATAATAGCAGGCTCTTCTGAAGACATGGTAATAATGAAGTGTCTGAAATGGAGTTGCTGAATTTGCTTCTAGAAAGATCTACGACACTTCACTTTGGGACCTGTGCTGTAAGACATGCTTCCTGAATAGAATACAACCCACTGGTCTTTAATGGAAGGGGCACTGGTTCCTAAACCTTTAGCACTCTGGTTATTCCTCTGAACATAAGTGACATCTTTTTCTCCACTGAAGCTGAGAGAGAAAGTTGGTAACCTTTCTACAAGGGCCTCTTAAAGCAGCTGCAGTGTCAGGGCATCTAACAGGGATGGGCAAAGATCTCATTGTTTCTGAATCTGGTTTAATGAGACTTCCCCACCGTAAGCCACAGGGAAAGCAGAACCGCATGGTCAGGTACTTACTGCTGCTGCAGCTATGCCTGCTGTCTGTGCGGCGATGCCGGTGCCCTTCTTGGCATTGCGAAAGCCTTCTGTGCCACAGGAGGCGCGGGCCAGGGACGTGTTAGTGGCAGAGACCACCTGGATCTGTGTGCTGGGAGGAGGAGGCATATAGCTCTACCACTGCTCAGGAAGGAAGGGCTTGCTAATGTCCTTAGGAGCCGCAGTGGGAAAGAAAAGAAGGTCACGAGCTCCCTCTGTTATGCTAAAGGAAGATGGGCACATCGCACACTTAGAGGGAGTGCCATAATCCACGGGCAGGAGAGCATGACCCGAAGGACCCACTTCTACCTGAATGAAGCCTTCCCTGAGGCAGCATTTACCCTGGATGTGATATCGCTTGGTGTTTTATAAAAACCTACATGTTTCACATTAGGCAACTGTTAAAAAACACAACACTGAGAAAATTTCGAGTATCTTCCACTACAACAATGGAAAGAACAGTGTGAAGGAGGGATGGCTTAAAGCTTACACGTGCACCCAACATGGTGCAAAGAGAGGGCTAATTGGTGCAAATTGTTCTCTGACCTCCACATGTTAACAGTCCACTCCCAACAACTAAGTAAAAATGTAATAAAGTATTTTTAAAAAGTATATGGAGCTCTGCTCCAACCATGACCAGGTCACATCCAAATACAGTGTCTCCTCTAAGCCTGTTACATCTTCTCATCAGTGGACTGTTTTGAAGCGAATCTATTACCTATCATTTCAGAGGTAATCATAAAGACTCAAAAAAATCCCACAAAATCAGTTATCCCTAGAATACTATTACAGTGGACAATTCAAATGCTTATGACATTCTATTCACTGGTCAAAAATTATTTTAAGTAAGTGAAACTTTTTTCTACTCTGCCCTAAAATGGTAAATTGTAACTAAGACTGACTTTAAGAAAACCCTATGGTATGTTTTCTGTCTCTCCTTTGGTTATCGTCACCCCACTTTCTGCAGAGCTTTCTGGGTACTCCTAGGAAGGAGAAGTGAAGGGGAGCTGTCCAGGAGACCTGCTGGGCCAGCCCTGAGCAGGGACCGCCTGTTTGTTCGTCTTGTTATAGTGTTCACTCCTCCCCTGGGGTCTCTTACATTTCCTGCACTGCACAGAACCATTCTCATGCAGCGTGTACAGACACAACACAGAGAGAGCTCAGAAGCCCTGTCTGCATTAGCTCAAGAGAAGGGAGATGCTGCTGTATGCTGTGCAGCTCTTGTGTGCTCGCACTGGAGGCTAGGATTATGTCTCTGGTGCTGTGTTGCAACTGTATGGCAGGCAGACTTCGACCAAACACGGCAAAGCCTGCAAAGCTGTCCCCGTGGCCCTTTGCTTCTGCAGCTGAGAGCTCAACTGCACCTGTGTCTTGTGCTAGCACACCACAGGACACATTAGTCTTTCCTTCACTGCCACACTTAGCCCTGCTAGGGAAGGGGCAGTGCACAGGGCCTAAGGTAAGAAGGCTAACTAAGGGGCTTATATATTCTGGCTACTTTACAAATAAATCATGTATCTGTACATTGCTTCCCTCACCATTTGCTTCTAATGCAGTCCTTCTGGTCCTTGCATAGGAGTCCCAAGGAAGGCAAAAAGAAAACCCCTTACAATGACAGTGTACTAAACCTATTTTATGTTTTCATGAAACTTAAGCAAACTTTATAAAGAAAGAAGATGGTTTCCCCGAACAAGATGAAACTAGCATCTGATACCCCAACTTCTACTCTGAGAGGGCCCAAGGCAGAAGTAGTTCATAGGGGACTCATGCGGGCACACCCCTTTTCTTACTTGTTGTAGGTTGCTTTAATGTGTGCAATTGGAACTTCCTCAAATTTCATCCCTGCCCACTGCAGGGAGCTTTCCTGTCCTGGAACTGGAGGGTAAATGCTGCAATCAGAAGAAGCATTTTCTTTAATTTCCACATTGTTAGTTCCTTAAATCAAAAGAAATACACACATGCTTAAAAAGAAAATAAAATAGGTTGAGTACGGTGATGTTTACTTGTGAGACAGGCAAGATGGGGAGCAGGGTGGAAAGCTGAATTCAAGGCTAACCAGGGATACACACAGTTTTGGACATACTGTAAGACTCTGCCCAGCCCCTGCTCTCCACCACCGACAAAGGCCTCAAACCTCCCAAACAACCCCTCCCCCCAACACACACCAAATCAAAAAGCGAGGGCAAACGCCTGGTTCTGGAGGAGACTTTCTGTACCATTGCTGTTAAAATCTAGGCACTCTATGTTTCAGGGTTGGGAACACTGGTCTTGACAGTGTGCTTGGCCACTGGGTTCCCCTGAGGCTGGAGCCTTCATGTTCGGGTGGAGAACTCACGTCCAAACAGAAAGAGGGCTAGCAAGGAAAGCCAGGCCTTGGACCCAGGAGGCTGGCCTTGGGTCTGTGCTTTCTTCTTTACAAGTGTAAACACGCACACCACTGTCATTCAGCATTTGAGATGGGAGTACCCGGCTGTTTCATTATGCCTACACACCTAAATCAGACACAGACTTGTGCCCACACACCCACACTGTATTTCTACTATGCTGAAATCACTTTTAGAAAACACGCTACCATTCAAGCACCTTCCCCCACCCCCCAAGCCCCATCTGCTTCTGTAGGAATAGTTTCAAAAGCTAGCACAATGCATTGTTTCCTGTGGCCCAGTCTTAGCGTGAAACACAGCCTCTGTGGGTGGCTGGACTGTCAGCTTCTGTGCTAAGAAGGAAAGCGTCCCAGGCCTGTAGATGACATTACTGTTTCAGTGATCATGATTTCTCCATGGATTTATTTCCCCGTCTGTTGCACAAATACAAGTCTAAGTCTGGGTAAAACCAGTACAGTGCCCTTTCTATAGCAAGATCTAAACTAGGAGCCCAAGCCACTTAATCTAGGGCATGGCCAAGATCAGGCCTTGAAACTTCTCAGGTTCAGTAGGCATGGGCAGTGCATAGTGCATGTCTGTAACCCCAGCCAGGAGAGCAACCATGAGTTCAAGACCAGCTATGATGACAGAGTTCCTGGTCATCCTGGGCTACATAGCAAGAGCCAATCATAAAACAAAACAGAACAAGATTCTCTCAGGTTGAAGGTATACTGAGCAGTGGCTCTTCTGAGGAAGGCTCTAAGAAAGAGAGACAGAGCTTTCTGAGACTAGTCTTTCTGCCCACTCTCGTGACAGGGGGATGTGGCAAGGCAGTTCATTTGCTAATGGCAGACTGTTTTATTTTGTTTGTTTTTGAGGGTCTCAGTACATAGCTCTGGCTGGCCTGGAGCTCACTGTGTAGAACAGGCTGTACTCCAATACAGGGAGCTACGTGCCTTTGCTTGTACTGTACTGGGATCAAAAGTGTGCTCCACCATGCCTGGCTTAATTCTAAAATCTTTAAAAATGCGAATACAAGCAACTAAGGAAGGCTCAAAATGGGAGATCCAATACCAAGTGGTCAACCCTGAGGTAATATACATACAAGTAACATTACACAGACTGGTCAGGTTATATTTATGTAGTTAGGAATACACCTCCTCCAACAATTAAAAAAAAAAAGAGGCTATACATTTGAGAAAGAGAAAAGGGGATATAAGAGAAGCATTACAAGGTGAAAATGGAAGAGGGGGGATGATAATTTATATTTAATTAAAAAAAATTATTTAAAGTGCAAATAAACTGTAAAAACCATAGCTGGCTCAGTGTCATCTGGCATTCTAAATAACTATTGAGTAATCCAGCTAGATCTCCAAAAGACCTGCACTTTTATTTCTAAGCCTTGCCTCCTTTAATCATAATCTGTCCTACTTGGGCTGTGCACTTCTCGGGGCCGCAGGCAGCCATTACCAGCACATGGTCATCACCTTGGCTTCAAGCTCCTGGCCACCTCCTACTACCTTGCTGTCTTCAGGGCAGCACTCTGAGGAGCTCATCAGATCGCTGCCACTCCACATACCTCAGGCAATACTTCTCTTCTCACAGGGACTAAATCCTAGTCTCCACTCCCCTGTCTTTCTTCACATTCTCCTGGCAAACTCCCAGCCCTTGTTAAATCCATCTCTCAAGACACTTTGAGTCTGTGCAAACATGGCATGGTTGACTGGTCTTCACACCAGGGCTTTTTGACTGACATTTTGGATAAAATGCTTCTGTGGGTGGCTGTCCTGTGAGCAGTGGGGTGCTTGGTACCATCCGTGGTTTTACCTCACTGAATTCTAGCTCCTACTTTATAGCCATTAGAACTTTATAGACACTGCTAAGTCCCTGGGGGCGAGGGGCAAAATCTGTCCCTGCCAAGACCCAGTGCTTCATCTTAATGAATTGCCAGCATCGAGCAGCCTCTCAAGATGCCTGACAATCATGCTCAGTTCAATTATCCTTCCACTCTCCTGGATGCCTCTTCTACATTTCCTTTTGTCTCCGTAAACATCCGAGCCCTTCCTGTATCCTCAGGGCCAGCTGATGGCCTCTGTAGAGAAATTGAATCAATCAGACTCTCTTCCAGCTTCCACCACCAAACATCTGTGCCCATGGCCTCTGAGAACTCTGCTGCCGTCACGCTCCAGCTGCATCATTAGCCCTACAAGGACACTGCTCTGGCAATGTTCCCACTTCAGTATCAGTCTTTCTCTGGTTCCCAGAAGCAAAAGATACGGTCATGTCATAAAGTCAAAACATCAAGAACAAAAAATAACCCTCCGCACTTAAGACCCCAAGTTCCCAAGAGCTTCTCATTCTGTCTTACAGCAAAGCCTCCTTCAAGGAATGACAATACTTGTTTATTTTCTTTGAAACCAACCCACTCCAGTGAGAAGTTATTTCCGACCTCTCCATCAGAAAGGCTGTAGTGAAGGTCACTAACCAACTCCATACTGTTAAATCCAATGAGCAATCATGCTACCTGCCTGTCACCCCATCCTGTCTGCAGTGCCAGACACAGCTCAGTTCCCTACTTTGCACTGCACTAAAAAGAAAATCTTGTCTGGCTTTCTTCATCTTGGGGAGGATTTTTCTTTTGCTGGCTCTTCCTTTCCCCAGATATCTGTCTATTTGACAACTCTACTCTGATGCTAAGTGTCTCATATGTTTTCTTTTATTATACAGGATTATGCAAGGCCTTTTGAAAGCAAGCATAAGACACCTTAAACTTAAATACACGGATCTCAATTGTCAGTCCCTGCCGTTTTAATATAATAACAATTCCAAATTTTCAGTTGTTTGGCACTCAATTTTGAGCCTTCACACCTTTCCTTTTCTCACATTTCATATTAACAGATCTGTAGCTGGTCATGGATGGATGCCTATAATCCCAAGCACCCAGGTAACTAAGGCAGGAGGATTGCTGCACATTCCAGGCCAGCCTAGGCTGCACAGCAAGACTTTGTCTCAAAACAAAATAAAACACCAAAACCAAAGCCCACTGGCTATACCAGTCAAACTCTCACCCTATTCCAGACACCATCACTTTTTACCTATTCTATTGCTTTCCAGTCTTTTCAGCTTCCATTCTTGCTCCCTGTGGCTTTACATCAACACAGTGGTTACAGATTCTCTAAAGAGTAAGGCTAAGGCTGGGGTAGGCTCTAGTAATCCAGGCACCCAGGAAGCCAAGGCAAGACGATTATGAATCTGAGGGTAGCCAGGGCTGCACAGCAAGGTCATCCTAAAAATGAATGAACGAATGAATAAAATGGTATCAACTCTTCCCAGAGCTGGACAGGATATGGCTATGACTGTCTGCTTGCTGAGAGGGCTTTTACTGTTGGAGCAGGGATGTAACCCCAACAATCCCAGTAGTGTCTGGGATTGCCAAATGAATGACTACATCAGTCTTGGATCAAATTCCATCAACAGCTCTTCACTGCCTGCAGCAGGCGAAGTGTAAAAGCTCCAGGGTGACAGGGCAGTCCTTCACTATTTGGATCCTTCCAGAACATTGGTCCTCAGTGTTCCTAATGCTGCAACCCTTTAATACAGTTCCTCACACTGTAGTGACCCCCAGCCATAAAATTATTTTCCTTGCTACTTTATAATTGTAATTTTGCTACTGTTATGAATCGTAATGTAAGTCTGTGTGTTTTCCAATGGTCTTAGGAGACCACCCCCAAAAGGGGTCGAAACCTATAGGTTCCGAAACGTTTTTCTAGAGGAATCACCACATACCAGTTGTCTCTGACAGCCTGCCTTTTCACAGACGTTACCTTTGCCTGTAATGATCACACTCATCTTGTCCAGCTGAGTTCCCACGGTCACTTCGACACTCCATGGTACTTTAAGTCTTGCCTGACTTCCTCACAAGTGCCTTATTCTCTTAAATGTCCAGCCAGTTCTTACCTCTATTATCCTGCTGATCAGATTAAGGTTAAAACATTTGCCTATGTGTCATCTTTGCAAATTTGTGTACGACTGGGGAGAAATAACCTATATTTCCACTTCTTATCATGGTACACAACAGGTAGTAAGTTTTTGTAACTGTTAAACAGGTGCAAAATTAAGTGAACGCATATAGAGCCTGCATACGAAGTATCAATACTAGTGGAATGCTGCAGGATGCCAGGTCCCAGGGCTAGGTACAACACTAAGAAAGGTCCAATCTAAGATGTGCAGTTAGTGTAGTCCTTCAAGACATTTTGGGTTGGAGGCTGAGAAAGTTGCTAGTCGGATCTAAAGCCTATCTCACAAGGAAAAGAAAGCTTGTATTTATATACACTGGACACTTAGCTAATAGCTGCTAATTGAACAGCCACTTCATGCCACAGCTCATCCCTCTTGTCTTCACCAACAACCCCTCTAAGCATTATTTCCAGAGGGGTGGATCTATTTAACCCTCACCTGAAGCGACTAGGAGGGGCTTCCTTTTTAGTGTTCTGCCTGGCAGCTGAGTCTTCTAACCTCGGGGCTCCGGTGTGGATATTCTTAGCTGGGGCAATGGCCATAAGCCTGCAAAAAAGTAGAGTCCGGTGAGGGACTGGATTAACGGTGTTTTGGGGGGGTTCAAGTGGCACACAGGACTGGAAAGTAGGCGGGCAGACTCAAGAGTGACAGTGGCCTCGAAAGAACAATCCTTACCTGGTCATCCCAGGTCCAGCCCAGGACCGCAGGAGCCACGACCCGGAGTTTCTTACAACCTGCATGACTGAAATTGACCCTTGTCAGCTCCGGTCCGCAGCACTCGGTTTCGCTGGAGCCAGCACCAAGAGCATCTGTGGGGGTGCTAAAATAAGGGAAATCACCTGATTGCTCTTAAATCGTCCTGTAAGTATTTTTCTTCAAATTTAAATGCTCTATAAAACCAGTTATATGGGAACTTTCCCCTTTCTAGTGGTCTTACACTAGAATTTCACTTATCTTTCCTAAAGGGAATGGTTCGTCCTACTTGGTAAACCTGCCCCCTCGCCGGCCCGCGTTGCCTCATGGGAACCTGGGGTTGGCTGAGGGCTGTGCCGGGTGCCGCGGTACCTTGTGGGAAGACAGAAAGATGGCGGCGCCCGTAGGGCGTACTCTTTTAGGGGTGGCTAGAGGCTGGCGGCAGCTTGACAGGCTCTGGGCAGGTAGTTCTCGTGGCCTGTCCCTTGAGGCTGCGCCCTCCAGCAGCCGGTCTCCATGGCGCTTGTCGGGCGCCTTGTGTCTGCAGCGGCCACCGCTGATCACCAAGCCTCTCACCCCATTGCAGGAAGAGATGGCGGGTCTGTTACAGCAGGTAAGGCAGGCACGAGCTTCGTGGTGCGGTGGAGGGAAGCTGCAGTACCAAGGAGGTCTTGATTTCCATGGTGACTCTGGTACTTCGTGTGACCTTGAGCAAATCATTTAACTTCTCGATCTTTAGTGACATCTGCAAGATGAAGTTACTGCATCGAGTCGGGTTAGTCTATATAGCAGGTGTTCAAAGAGTTTAATTGGCTTGTTTTCACGCGAGCATTCTGTGTGGATAGTTTCCTTCTTGTTCATTCATTACAGTAGGGATCCGGTGGTGAACAGGAATCAAACCTTGTAACTTAGCAGCTGGCAGGCTACAGGGAAGCCTCTGTGATGTTAGGAAGAAAGTCGTGGAGACGGTGGGAACATCCTTAAGATGCGTCTGGTAAAGTTTACTTTGCTTTACCTCAGGGAGCAATTTCTGTGAAGGACAAGTGAGGCAATACATGCAAAAACCCAAGAGTAGTTGCTGTCAAGCTGTTAAGTCTCAGTTAATAGTTATGGAAGATCTTACATATCCCTAGACTCCGAAAAGTCTTGGGAATACTAATGGAAGCTCTCTTCAGTGCTTTTTGCTCAAATTATTCACTGCTTGACCTTTTCTTAGCAGTCCTTTTTTTTTTTTTTTAAGCAAACAAACCATAATAGGTATTCGTAGTTAATACTGTTCATCTGTGTGCAAAGTGATAGGTAGTTGTGGATATGACAGGTACATAGCTCTGATTCCCAGACAGTTTCCAGTACTGGAATCAGGGGTACAGTCAGTAGCCAGTCATATGGCTAATTACAGACTTCAGTAAGTGCGATTAAGGAGTTTTATACAGAACTCCATAGGTTTGATTTTTCATGAGAAGTGTCCAGGAGTGTCTTTCTGAGAAAGTGGTATTTAAGTTGAAATCAGAAGGATGAATAGAGATCTGGAGAGAGAGAGACTAGGAAGAAGGGATGCTGTAAAGTCTTCAGGGCAGGACAGTCCTTGAATAGATGCTGGTCGGAGACTAATAGACCTAGGGTGTGGGAAGTGGGACCACAATGCCCTCTGTTCTTCCTGACGGGCTTGATCTCTAACTGCCTGCTTGCAGTCCAGTGGGTTTTTTTTTTTAATCTGTATAGTGTTTGATTATATCTTTGAGTGTATTAAGAGTTGTATTTTTGAGCCTGTCACGGTAGCTTTGTTCTTTTCTTGTCCCCTTTCCTTTTACATTTCCCAGGTAGAGATAGAGAGAAGCCTGTATTCAGACCATGAGCTCCGTGCTCTGGATGAAGCTCAGCGACTGGCAAAGAAGAAAGCTGACTTTTATGATGAGGAACAAGAACGGGGCATTATGCTCACACAAGACTTAGAAGATATGTGGGAGCAGGCATTCCTCCAGTTCAGACCTGGAGCCCGGGAGACAGGTTTGTGACCTCCTAGGCCAACCACAAGGGAGGGAGAGGCAGGTATTTTCACATCCAAATCAAGGCCAGCTGCCTGGCTTCTGCTTTGCATTTTAATAACAAGAAGCTTCAAGTAACAAAACAGCTTTCAGAAAATTAACACCCCCTCCCTTTCCTTATATTTTTTTAAAAAGGCTTATGCTATTTTCAGTGGGAGTAAAGAGTCTTCTCTTTCTGTTAAAACTTGAGGCTGTCTCGGGCTCAGAGAATGGGAGGAATTAAGCCTTTCTCCTCAGTTCCTGTTTTGTTAGAAGTCACTCTGAAAGCAGGGGTTGAGTGCCATTGTCCTTGTTTCAAGGATGATGACTAAAGAACAGAGACAGTAGGGGTTAGTTAGATTGGTGATCGTGTTAACTCCAGTGGAACAGGGTTGGTTTTTTTTTGTTGTTGTTGTTGTTTTCAAAAACACCAGACTTTATGGCCTCGGCTACTTGAGGGGAATGAATTAGGAGAAGTAGGTGATACCAATACTGGGCTTGTAGGTGATGGAGAACTCGCCCACGTAGTGTCCGATCATCTCTGGTTTGATCTCCACCTTGTTGAAGGTCTTGCCATTGTACATGGCCACCATGCTGTCAACCATCTCAGGCAGAATGATCATGTCCCTCAGGTGGGTCTTCACCACCTCGGGCTTCTCCATGGGCGGTGCCTCCTTCTTGGCCTTTCTCAAGCGCTTGAGAAGCGAGTGCTGCTTCCGCCACAGGCCGCGGTTTAGGCGCCTTCTCTGGTGGGCACTGTAAAACTGCATCAGCTGCTCATAGGATATGTTCAGCAGCTGGTCGAGGTCCACGCCACGATAGGTGAACTTGCGGAAGGTCCACTTCTTCTTCTGCTCCACTTCAGCCAACTTGGTGGCTGCTTGGAAAAGCTTTAAAAAGAGCTTTAAAAAACAAAAAACAAACAAACAAACAAACAAAATACTGTGCATGCTTGCTGAGGTCTGAACTCAAGAGCCTGCTCCTTGCAAGGGAAGTGCACTGCCTCTGAGCTAGATTCCAGTTCTTACGTTGAATTTTCACAGGCATTGCTTCTTTCCCAAAGGTTTCAAGTAGATTTTCCTCTTGAGAGGAGTTCAGCTCTGGTTCCGAATCTTAGCTTTCATTTTGAGTTAGGGTTATACTCTGGCTTTAAGTTCTTAGAGGACAGGGTTTATGGTGGTCCCTAATGGAAAGCTCTAAAACTCAAAATCCTTGGTTTTACTAGATCACAATCCTTTATTTTTTTATTTTTCTCTCTCCTCTGATCATCCCTTTTATAGAAGCCGATAAAAAAGATGACAGAACCTCGTTGCATCGTAAGCTAGACAGAAACCTTGTCCTCCTAGTCAGGGAGAAACTTGGAGACCAAGATATTTGGATGCTTCCTCAAATCGAGTGGCAGCCTGGGGAGACCCTTCGAGGGACAGCTGAGCGAATCCTGGCCACACTCTCAGGTAACTTCCTTACCTTCTGAATCTTCTGAATTTCAAGTTGGCTGAGATTGGGCATAAGGATAGAGAGTGGTAAGTTTAATGGATACTGATGAGTAAAAGTTCAGGTAAGAGGCTGGGTGTAGAGGCACGCTTCTTTAATTACAGCACTTTGGGAGGCGGAGGTGCCGGGAGTGTGTCTCTGAGTTCACTGCTAGCCTGGTCTATATAGTGAGTTCAGGGACAGCCAGACCCCTCCCTGCCTCCCTCCCTCCCTCCCTCCCTCCCCCCTTCCCTCCCTCCCCCCCCCTCTCTCTCTCTTTCTTTTTTTTTTTTTTTTTTGTAGTCAGGGTGGCCTTGGACTTCTGATCCTCCTGTCTTCACCTCCTGAGTGTTGGGATTATATGCTTGAGCCACAGACTTATGCAGAACTGAGGACTAGACCCAGAACCTTGTGTATGTTAGGTCAACACTGGACCAATCGAGATGCAGCCCCAGCACCAAGGGGAGAAACCTTATTTGGCAAGTTCATACCTGTATTGGGAGAAGAATTTCTAGTTCCTTGCCTTAATCACTTAGCTACAGTTGCATTACTCAGAATTGTTACACTAAGGAAATGTGTTTTGTTTTTCAGTACTAGAGATGGAGCTAATGGCCTTGTAATTGGCAGGCAAGCACGCTACCACTGACCTATGTTCCTAACACTGCTGCTTGGTACCGTAGCTTACCTATTGACTCAGCTAGACTCCTCAACATTACCCCTGACTTCACTCTGACACATGCGTCTTTGGGTCTTACTGATGTGTTCCAATCATCCTGTCTTATTTTCACAGCTTTAGCTGTGATGTCCTTCACTTCTCACTAGACTGTGGTATTATCAATGCTAGGGGCCAGATAATTCTTTTCGAGAGACTCTTCTGTGTATTGTAAGGTGTTTAGCATCTTCAGCCTCTACTCACAAGTTGCTAGTAGCAATATTTGTTTTCCACCTCTACCTCCAGTGTGGCAGCCAAAAGAAGTCTCTCCATATTGCCAGAGAGCAAAATTAGCATGGTTGAGAAACACTATACTGAAAATGCGAAAGAAAGTTCCTCCTTGCTTTTGTTTTATATCTCCAGTGCTGCTGACATGTGGTTTCTGCATAAAAATCCCTTGTTACTTCTTTGCATAGAGTTTTTAGCTGTTTTCCATAGACACACAAGTACCCACTCATAGCCTACAGTTTTTATCCTGGTCCTAATCTCGGCAGCTCTTACTGAGTTAATGTAAAATCCTATTTCTAACCAAGGAGAGCCCTTGTCGTCCCTGAGTCAGTGGGTTTTTCAGGCATCTCTGCTTTGTGGCATGCAGGTCCATTTAAGAAGAGTGCCATCTCCCAGTGGGGGAGCTCTTCAGGCAGTTTATGCAGGAAACATTTTCTATGGCTACCATTTTCCAGGCCTTTCTGGCAGTGGGTGACAGCCATGAGTTAGGCACTATGCCTGCTCCACGGTTGCTCATGCCGTCGTGGGGAATATGTTCTTTCACTTCTGCCATTGCGCCAAAATGGTTTATTTACACATTTTGTTTTAGCCAGAATTCTGAGTTCCCTGAAGGTCAGGGTAGATTCTATTCTTCAGGAGTTCTCAGCAGTATCTGACATGTAGAGGCCACTTCCTGGTGTTGAGTAAGTGGATTTGGTAGTAGTGTAAGCACATGGCCACTTGGTTGGCTGTGCCACCAGGATAAGAGCACCTAGGAAATGTGAAACGTTTGTATGCCCCTTGACCTTTTCTCACCAGTGTCTTCTTTAGCCTGTAGGAAAGGCCACAAGCTACAATGCTTCCGTCAGTCTCTTAACTGTCACATAGGAATTGGCAGTTGTGGTTTTTTTGGGTACACATTCTCAGGGTCCCTCACAGAAGCATGCATGATGAATGCCTGCTTACCTCTGCCTTCTCTTTGCCTTCTGGAAAGGGCTTCTGTCTCAGCACATGCTTTCTTTTAATATTCCCATTGAATAAATGCTTAAGGAAATCAAGGATACCAGATAGGTATACTTATATTTAATAAATACATAAAATATAAATTGATGGTAAATAAGTTTGTTACAAAGTTAGTAAAGTAGCAAATTTAAAATAGAACAGCAAAGAAGAGTTTTCACAATAAATATTTAGGAAAAGCAAATGTACATTCCTTCCTCACCGGCTCAATCCTTCTGCAAGATGGGATTTTAAGAGGTGGAGTCACCATGTCAGAGGGGTGCATACGACAGAGGTGTGCACCTGGAGGAGGTGAGGGTTTGGGAGCTGAGGCTGCTTGACTTCCAGTGTGTGGTGACAGGGGCTGTTATGGTGAAGCCTGCTTACCTGGACCTCACCAGAGTAGGAAATAGCCCTTGTTTTAGTTTGTAGTTGTGGTAGCAGTAGAAGTAATCTCTCGTGAATTAGTGCGTAGTGTTTGCCTTTTTGCTATTGAGACCATCTTTTCATATGCTCGTCGTATTTCTTAATTCTGTGACCTGTCTGCTCAGACTCCTCGTGCCTGTTTGTAGTAAAATGTTTTTTTTTTTAACTTGATAATATTTTAATCTGTGTTTTCCAGATTATAGAAAAATAATATACATACTCACTTAAGTTTGGAGAGTACAGGAAAATATAAAGAAATATGCCAATATGATCCCATCACTCCCAGAGTGCCTGCTCAGACACTTGCTGTAGCGTGTGAACATGCTTAGTATGTAAATTCATCCAGTGCTAGTAATGTTAAGTTGAGAACATCAATTCATGCATGTTTAATGACATCAGCTTCTAGTAAGTACAGTAAATGTCTGTGTGTGTGTGTGTGTGTGTGTGTGTGTGTGTGTTGGGGGGGGTCAACCTGCACATGCTATGCATGGAGTGTAAGGTCAGAGAACAATTTGTGTGAATTGGTTCTCTCAACCATGTGAGTCCTGGTGATCTTACTCAGGTCATCAGGCTTGGTGGTGAATACCTATACCCCTGTGTTACCTCCTAAGTCCTGACTTCCATTTATTTTAAGATAGGATCTCACTGTGTAACCTAGGTTGGCCTTGAACTCACCACATAGTCCAGTTTGCCCTTGAATTTGCAGCTCTCTTGGCTCACTCTCCAGTGTACAGGAGAAGAGAGGCATTGCCTCAAGCCTGGTTCCCAAGTGCTTCTTGATACTGTAAGATATTGTTCCTTTGTTAAGTGTGCTGAAAATGCTTTTCTGAGTCTTTTTGTTCTTTGGGAGACAGGATCTCATGTAGTCCAGGCTGGCCTCGAACTGGCTGCATAGCTGACGATGACTTTGAACTGCTGATTCTCCTGCCTCTACCTCCCAAGGAGCTGGTTGCTTTGGGAACATTGGGAGTGTTGGTGTCACTAACACATCCTGCTCCAGTTTATAATTTTGTTTTTGTAGTCTGCACACTTGAGTGTGCGTGTGTGTGTGTGTGTGTGTGTGTATGTGCTTGTGTGTATGTGTGTGTGTCTTATTTTTTTTCTCTGAAAGATTTGAATTTTCTGTGAGCAAACAATTTTTTTTCTAATATATTGTCTTGTTTGGTAGGCTGGGCCCTTTTGATATGTAAAATATCACATATTCCTCTAATACTCTTTTTTTTAACTGAAAAAGTTGAAAATGCATAATAATTCAGAAAATATGAATTATTCTTGAAAGCATCATCTGAAGTGAACAAACTTTTATGAAAATGTGAAGTTTCTTTTAAGTGTTGAGCCCATGGTATCAGTTACAGTGTGGTTCTGACATATATGAACGCTGAAGGTCCTGTTCCCCAATTGGTTCTTGATCAGTCAATAAAGATGTCAGTGGTTAATGGCTGGGTAGAAGAGGCAGGACTTCCAGGTTCCACAGGCAGACTAGGAGACGCAGGAGGGAGAAAGGAATTCATGCTTTGGAGGGAGAGATAGTCACCAGCCATGTAAGATCTCGGGTGGAATGGCCATTAGCTGCTTTCCCAGGTGGGAGATTAGAAATGCAACTAAGCTGAGGGCAGATGTAGGGTGTTGAGCTAGGAGTGAAGGTAAGGGCACATTAGCTGGAGGAGGCATAGAAGTGCCCAACCATTGAGCTAAAGTTATTAAAAATAACTTGTGTGTGAGTGTGTTTCATCTGCGGATCTGGCATGGCTCCTGGGCAGGTGCACATGTGCCTCCAGCTAGGAACATGGAGCGGTGTAGACAAAGCTACACACAACAGAGCTCCTACTCTGCCTTTTGTTTAGCTGGCTGTTCTTCAGGTGCTGTTTAGTAATTCTGCATTTTGCCATCTTTGAAATGGTGGATTAGGGTTATTAACTCTTCCTTGATTGCATACTACAGTGATCAGATCTGACTGGGGTGTGGTGATACATGCCTTTGATCCTAGTGTCAGAGATGTTGAATCAGAGAGACCACCACTTTGAGGCCAGCCTAGGCTACATAGAGGGTTCTAAGCTATCCAAGTTACATGGCTAGACTTTAAGAGGATCCCTCATGTCTGCTCCCTTAAAGGTCAGACTGGAGACCCTTTTAGAGGTGACGAGCTTTGATCCACAGGTACCAAGTTTCAACAGTTGATTACAGGGCTGAATGTAGAAGCCACCTGCCATGACTCCCAGATAATCTTAACTACATTGTGAATTTCTAGGCCCACAGTGGCAGCCTGGCACCTAGGCTAGAAAGCATTTGACTTGAGAGGGAGGAGCCCCCTTTCAGGACTGCCACACTTAACTAGATCCCCTTTATCTCTGTTAGAAGTAGCTTTTCTGAGCCTCCTGTGTTTTGGGTGAAGAAGCAGCAGATGGCTGTACCCTCATCTTCCTATTCTTTCTTTTCTCTTCAGAAAACAACATGGAAGCCAAGTTCCTAGGGAATGCACCCTGTGGGCACTACAAGTTCAAGTTCCCCAAGGCAATTCGGACAGAGAGTGACCTTGGGGTCAAAGTTTTCTTCTTCAAAGCTCTGCTGCTCACCGGAGACTTCGTGCAGGCTGGGAAAAAGGGCTGCCATGTGTGGGCCAGTAAGGAAGAGCTGGGTGACTATCTGCAGCCCAAGTACCTGGCTCAGGTCAGGCGATTTCTCCTGGACCTCTGATGGATTCAGCTGTCCGTGAACGTTGCTCACACAAGTCAAGTGTAGGACCTCAGGAACAATGTTGACGGACATTTACAGGACTGTCAAGCAGCAAACTCAATTCTGAGAATTCAGTGTGTCTGTCATTGTGTTGAAGTTTGATTTGTCCTTGGAGAACAACTGGCTTTGTCAATTGAAGAGAGGCCAAAACAGTTATTTCTCTATAGCAAGTTAAAGCATTATGTTACAGTGAAATAACAGACCTACTGGGCCCAGAATAAAAAGAAATGAATAGATCCAAATTCCTCAGTTGTGGTAAAGTTTCTGGGCCCATGAAAAGGCTGTGTGTGTGTGTATGTGTATGTGTGTGTGTGTGCGTGTGTGCGCGCGCGCGCGCGTGCTCGTGCACGTATATTCAATTAAAAGATACATACATACATACATACATACATACATCTGATTTCCATCTTATCTTCCTTTTTCCATTTGATAGGAAGGAACTATCTTCTTTCTCCTACCTTCATAAACTTCCATTTTGGAAGTTTCATATTTAGGAGATTAATCACTTCTTGACTGTTTAGCAGTGGTCATCTGAAACAAGTTTGGCTTCTCTCCAGCCTACCAGTGGAAGAATCATGCATGCCCAGGTTGTGAAGTGCATCAGAGTCGCAGGAACAGGGAGAATGCTGTCTTGTTGCCTCTGGGGTTGGGGCTTTGGCTGATGTGTGAGTGTGGTGTTTGGATCAGACTTATCCCCAGAAGCTGGCATACAGATAAACATTTGCCATAGAGTACACAGGGCAGGCGATTCAGATGCAGTGTCTACTCAGAGTGCTCAGATACTCATAGACCCATCACTGCCTGGTTTTCTCTCACATAGACTTCTGGGTAAACTGCCCAGCCCTTCTGTGTGAGCTTGTGAAGTGGAGTCTCTGTTTCCACACCAGATGGTGCCTACTGTTCTTGCATAGGGTCAGGGAGTTTGATGTTTTTTGTTTTTTTGTTTTGTTTTTTGTTTTTGTTTTTTGTTTTGTTTTGTTTTTTTAAATCAAGATTGGGTTCCTAATCCTGTTGCCTCTCTCTTTGCCCTTTACCTTCTGCATGGCTTCTGTGATAACTGATGTCCCCTGTGGAAGGCTGGGTCATCAGGAGCAGGTAGTGGTGCTTTAGAATGGCCATAGCCGTAGGGTCAAGGTGCACTTTCTGGGTTTTGGAGTGTGTTGTGTCTGTGAACTGTTCTGCCTGCTGTTAGGGCAATGAGTATCTCTGACCTAGAAGGCAGAAGCACTGGGGTTATTTTTGTATATGTGCATAGGATCCTGTTAGTGTTTCTGCATTTATTTTTACTTACTGTGGTGCTGAGGATCCAGCCCAGGGCTTTGTATGTGTTGGGCAAGCATTCCACACTGCCACATGCTCAGCTCACAGCTGTGCCTCTAGTGGTAAATATCAGATATATAATCAGTAAGTTGAGAAATGGCATCAGGCTAACTTGACATTCTGCTAGTTCCTGTGAGATTGCCAACAGAAGGTCAATATTTTGAGATACCAGGGACAAGATTGAGTACTTTAGGGAAAAGGTGAAGATTTTTAGAAGTGCCCTCTTTTATTGCAAACAGGGACTGTCTTAGTAGCCAGAACCACTAGTAGCCTTTCTAGGAGGTCAGCCATGCTGGGGAAGGGGCTGACTGTAAAGGAGGGGGCGGTGAGGTACCCCAACCTACTTGGTTTAAAAAAAAAACAACTGATGAAGATGGTCCCATCATAGACCATCTTCTTAATTTTGCTGGAACTTGTCCTTGAGGATTATTTTTCAAGGTTCACCTCTCAAAAACTAGCATGCCCAGGATTCCAGGCTGACAGGATCTAGCAAGCTGGGGATATTAGCTCTGCCCATGTCTTCATTGGTTGTGTTCTGAGCTTACTGCTCTAGCTACAGAATTTCACAGGTCTCGGGAATCTTCTCCAAAGCCATTTTTATTTTTAGAGTGTGATTTTTGCAGAACGCAAAGGTAATCCACATGGCGTTAGAAATGACTGCTGAATGCCACCTTGAACCGTCCACTGGCTGCCAAATGTGACCAAAAATTGTCTCTTGTGTGCCTGCCTGTCTTAGGGTTACAGTTGCAGTGATGAAATGGTGAAGGACCATGACCTAAAGCAAGCTGGGGAGGAAGAGGTTGATTGAGCTTACACAGTGACAGCATTGTTCATCATCAAAGGAAGTCAGGACAGGAACACAAACAGGGCCAGAACCTGGAGGCAGCAGCTGGTGCAGAGGCTATGGAGGGGTGCTGCTTACTGGCTTGCCCATCATGGCTTGCTCAGCCTGCTTGCTTATAGAATCCAGGACCACCAGCCCAAGGGTGGCAGTACCCAGATTGGACTCGGTCTTCCCCCATCAATCACCGTTAAAATGCCTTACGGGTTTGTGGGGCTCTCGGCCCTATCTTATGAAAATATTTCCTCAATTGAGATTCCCTCCTCTTCGAGGACTTTAGCTTGTGTCAAGTTGACATAAAAGTATCCAGCACAGTGTCCTGGGGGAGAAGGCCAGGGCAAACTAAGTGACGGTTCTATTTCAGAGGCTGAGTGACATCAAAGTGGACTATAAGAGAAGGAGAAAGTGCTGTGTGTGATGGCAGAGGAGTTAAGTGGCAGGCATGCATGTGCAGTCAGGAGGGAGTGGGGCTGGGGCCTGTGTGTGTGCACCATGGGTAATCTGTAAAACAACCTCTGAGCCCCTCAAAAGTCTTGAGAGGTATGTGGATTTTTCCAAGCGATTTCCAGTCTCCTGAGATGACTTCGTTTAGTTTTAAGTGAAGATCTTGGCATGCTTATAAACTTACCTTCAAGGTCACCTCCCTTTGGACCACTTCTGATGTCTTGTGTGCTGCTACAATGAACTCTTTATAGTAAGACTAGTCAGCCTATGCTTCTATCTAACTGGACTTCAGAAAGCATGCCAGCTCAGCTCTCCCTATGACACCAAGCTTGGAAACAACAGCAGGCTGTTTGCATTTTTAACACTTTTCGGCTACTGCTACCAATGTTTATGGTAAACATTGAAGTAACTCCCAAGAACTGGGGACAGAATGAGGTTCCTTACCCACAGGTGCATTTTTTTATTTAAACCAGCTGGCAAGTATCTTTACTCCTCTTATATCAATGAGGAATAGTCTTGAAGAAGTAGTTACCTTGGTCAGGATTTCTTGCTAAGTGTTAGAGACTCTTTCCTGCAAGCAGCTAGTTCTTAACCTGCCTTAACTATCTTGCCTGTAAAAACCAAGATGATGTTGCTTCTCACCCAGGTGAAGTGATAATTTTTTGAAAGCTTTTTAGTGCTGTGCATGGCTTGACATAAACACTGTGTGTGTGTGTGTGTGTGTTTGTGTGTGTCCTCCTATGTAGGCTTCCAAATGCTCTTGGAATCAGCTGTGTAGTCCGTATCTTTTAAAACTCCTCTCACCTTTCCTAGGTGTGTATTGTGATAGCCAATCATTTCTGACCTGTTTGGAAAGGGACATGGGTAATTTGAACATTACTGGGTTTCACTCACAACAGGAATGTGGTGGATCAGCCCTATAACTACCTTGGCTGTTTGGATATGTTAGCCCTGCCCCACCCTGGCCCAGGGAATCCAGAGCTACCTTTACACGCAGGCTTATAGGGGCACTAAAAGCAGAGACCTGCCGACCCATTCTATTATCTTATGAAGGGGAAGCATGCCAGCCGAAAGGTCAGGAACCCAATTATTAAGCATTCCCAGATAGCCGAGCTCCAGACACACAAGGTGAGATAAAACCCATTAGCCTGAAATCTCAGGGCAGTCACAGCCCCCCACCCCCCTTCTGAGAGGCTTGGATGATGGCCAGTTACTTTTACCTGCCTTGGGACTTTACTTCATAAAATGGGGAGAGGGAGGAAAATGCTCATCACTGTTTCCAGTGGAGGCATCTATTGTGGGTGTTGTACAGGGTTTGGGAGTTGCTCTGGATATGAGCCATGCTTACCTCAGCTAATGGGTCCGACTGGTAGCTCCCCAGGAGGGTAGGAGGGCATGAGAAATACAAAATGAGAAATAGATGCCTGTATGCCTGTATGCACACCTAGCTATCCCACTCTGAAAAGCTATGAGTAAGTACTTTTGAATGCCTTGGCATCATAGACAGACAGACAGACATCTCTAGTCACTGGAAACTGAGAAGCCAGGTAGAGGGTAGCGCACAGCTACTTCACTGGTGGGTGGAGACATGCATGTAAGTACCGTAAGTGATACAAGTTTGTGATGTGCACTTAGGCTGTTCCTGGAGACCTTCACTATACCTGACCTCTGGAGCAGCTTCCTGCTGAGCACAGTCCTCAGTGCTCTGACTTCTGGGCTAAGGGCAACTGGAAGCTGACATATTAGTCAGGGCAGATTCTGGGTTCTCATGGCCATCTCTGGGGGTATCACAGATGGATGTTGTATCCTTCAGAAGGGGAAGGGACCCAGGCTCTTATGTCTTGGGGCTGCTTCATGTAACTCAGGCCAGTTCTGCTTGTCCACATCATCTGGCTCAGTTATGTCAGCTCCATGTGGCAAGTTTTATTCTTGCCATTTGTATATCAGGAGACACATTTAGGGAAGCAGACACTTTGTGACAGTACCCCAGATAACATTGGAGCTAGCATTTGAACCCAGAGCTATATGATTCTGAAACTACCCGTATCATCTGCTGCTTGGACACTTGTCTTGCTAAACCAGAATTATTGAAGCAGTGACCCAGGAGCAATCAACTTCAGGTTGGTGGACTGGAGCCCTGGATAGGTTGAGAGTCTGAGGATTTAGAGTAGAGAAAAGGCTTAAGGAGCTGAGATTCTCAGATGTGCAGAAGGGAATGATGAAAGTCATGGTCTTGTAGTGTGCATGACACAGGAGGTCAGCTCTCCATCTGAATGGTTAAGCCTAAGGCACAGCAGTAGGAATTCTGAAGGAGCACATGGGAATTCCTTCACACATGAGAGTGAATTCTTGAAACATCCCAGTGATCCTTCAATAAACATTTGCAGAGGAGATAGTTTTACTGCCAAATGCTGGGGATAAGATGGTGATTAAAATACTGGCTAACATCCCCGTGATGGTTCAGTTCTGAGGGGGCAGGAAACAGACTCATCAACAGGCCAACGGGAATGTGTGCCTGGCTCTCACCCCTACCTGGCTCAGGGAAGGCCTTCTAGTTAGGGCTGAGTGGAGTTCATAAAGAGCCCAGGAATGAGGGGGAGTGAGTCAGGGGAGGACAGATAAGAAATAGACACAAAG